CCCCCTATTTTTCCAAAGGCAAATAAATAAACTGCCAGTGGCTTGCCTTGTCTGGTGGCAAGTCACCCTCCACGTTGTGTGTTATAAGTAAATGGCAGTGTTGTCTGAAATCACCAAAGAGGGAAATACAGATTATTTTTTAAAATATATGGTTATTGATTTCAGAGAGGAAGGGAGAGAGAGAGAGAAACATCAATGATGACAGAGAATCATTGAATGGCTGCCTCCTGCACGCCCCCTACTGGGTATCGAGTTGGCAACCTGGGCCTGTGCCCTTGACTGGAATCGAACCTGGGACCCTTTGGTCCGCAGGCCGATGCTCTATCCACTGAGCCACACCAGCAGGGCTGAGATACAGATTTCACATAGAGTGTAGAGCTTCAGAAGTTGGCGTGCTGTCTAGCCCTCGGCACTTGCCACACGGAAGGCTCTGGGGGCTGCTTTCAAGGCAGGTGGCGGCCCTGCCTGTGCTCTGCCCTCAGGGACCGGGTTCGGTATTTGGCTCGTGGACTTGCTGTGAACTTGGGCGGTGCTTTCTGAGGGGGCAGTGCTTTCCCATCTTCAGCTCTGGCTCCCGCCTGCCACCTGCACCCCAAGCCTCTGACTGTGTGACGGCAGAAGCAGTCATCGAACTGATGAATGATACACAGGGTGTCCCCCCAAAAATGTCTGCACACTTGGAATACTTACTCATTCCAATGCGTTTGATCTGAAAAGAAACATCGATGGAGCTATCCGCCGTAAAGTGGGCATGCATTTTGGGGGGACAGCCCATCGCTGACCATTTCTTCTCGTGGCTCTGAACTACACGCTTCCCTGCATGAGTGTTTGCGTGGCCCACTGCGTGTTTGCACTGTTCTCTACTAATAAGATCGACGGTTGCAAAATACGGGTTCAGCCAGGTTAGAAGGAGAGACCCCTCGGCACCCTGTGTGCCCGGGAGCCCGTTCCCGACACGGGTGACCTGGGAGCGCCGCATGCAGTCCTGTCTCTTACGTTGCCGAGAAGATGCTGGTGGGGACCGAGCGGGCGCACCGGCCTGCCCGGGAGCGAGGCCTCTGTCGGGGCCGGTCAGGGCAGGCGCCTGCGCTCCTCGCCGATGTGTCTGCCGTGCGGCAGCCATGGCCTCATGGACGGGAGGACCGGAGTCAGTGGCTTGTCCCTCCTCCGATCCCGTCAGGGAGAGCCGCTCCAGGCCGGAGGGGAATCCATCTCGTTCTGTAAAGCCGACTGAGAGAAACAGCCCACCCCCTGCATGCCGTGGGGGCTGCGTTGGCGCTGGACGGTGAGATTCATGGGCAGATGCCCCCGTGCGACCTGCACATCCCTGCCATGTACTTAGAACGCGTGATTCAATTCCCCCGTAATTGCTCTTCCCTGGGCACTGTCGCCCCCATATTGTGTTTTCATCTGCTTATCTCTCTGCGAACGACCACCTTTAACAGACAAGCCCGGGGAGCGGGATCCCTCCCGTTCCGGACAATTTGGAAGTGTCGTCCCAGAGGTTAAAGCTTCAGTGTGGCCCTGGCCGGTGTGGCTCAGTGGGTTGGACATCTTCCCAGGCACCGAAAGGTCACCAGTTCCACTCCCATCAGGGCACCTGCCCAGGTTGCAGGCTTGATCCCCAGTAGGGGGCGTGCAGGAGGCCTCCGATCGATGTTTCTCTCTTGCATCATTGTTTTTTTCTCCCTCTCCCTTCCTCTTTCTCTAAAAAATAAAATAAAAACAACAACAATTAAAGCACCTAAGTGTGATGTGAAAAGGAAATAGCACTGTTTGCAAAAAAAGCAGGCGTTTTCCCAGGGCGCTGGGCCTGACAATGTGGTCAGTGACCTGCAGTTTAACCTGGTAATGACTCAGCAGAAGCGCGGGGTTTGGGGCAGCGAGTGGAAGCTCGAGCGGTCACCGAAACATGGTTTTATTTTATTATTTTGTTAATATATTTTTTATCATTTTCAGAGAGGAAGGGAGAAGAAAGAAGAGGGAAAGAGAAACATTAATGATGAGAGAGTCATTGATCAGCTGCCTCCCGCACGGCCCCTCCTGGGGATCGAGCCCACAACCCGGGCATGTGCCCTTGACCGGAATCGAACCCGGGACCCTGCAGTCCACAGGCCGACGCTCTACCCACTGAGCCACACCAGCTAGGGCCTGAAACATGGTTTTAAAGGCCAGGCTGAGCTCAGCACTCCAGAGCTCAGTTACTCGTTCCAGGCCTTGTTTCTCAGGTGACGCCATGTCCCTGTCTGGGACGGTCTCCCTGAGGCCTGTTGTCTCTGTGTTATTAGCATCGGCTTCCCCCCTCAGCGGGTCCGGGTTCAGATGATCGTTTACATTTTACACGGTCACAGTGCACATTCTTTGTGGTCGTTGTTGTTCACCCTCACCCGAGGATACTTTCCCATTGATTTTTAGAGAGCGTGGAAGGGAGAGGGAGAGACACACAGAGAGAGAAACATCGACGTGAGAGAGACACATCCGCTGTTTGCCTCCTGCACACGCCTCGGGGTCAGGGATGGAGCCTGCAACCGAGGTCCAGGCCCTCGACCAGAATGGAACCTGGGACCCTGCCTTCCGCGGGCAGATGCTCTCTCCACTGAGCCACACCAGCCAGAGCTCATTGCTTCTTCCTTGCCTTCGCCTCTGCACCCGCCCTGCCCTGCGTTTCTGATACTTTTCCTGCCCCATTCCGCTCCTTTGCTAATTCTGCTCCTCCTTCCCAGGTCGTGGCTGTCCCCTGCACTCAGAATCGCCTTCGGCAAATGTAATGAGCCTCGCAGGCCCTTCATACCGAGGCCCAGGGGACACGACACCCAGGCTTCCGAGTGCCGCCCATTTCCTTTATTATCTTCTGCTTCTAACTCCTTTCCTTCCTTTTTAACTGCCCCTGCCTCGCCCTTCACCTCCCACCTTGCCGGATGGATGGATCTCCAGTTTATTCCTTAACTACTTTCCAGCAGGTCTTGTCTGCGGGGTCCTGCCCGGCTGGTGCCGCCCCGGCCAGCTTCGTCCGGAAACCCCGTATCCGATGCCCAGTCCCGGCTCACGGGGGTCGGGGCCTCTGAGGCCGGCGGAGTGAGCCTGTGACGGACTGTCTGCCCTGCTCGGGGCTTCGTTCCATCCTCGTGCCGTAGGCACCGGGGCCAGGTCTCGTGTCCTCGCGTCAGCCCGCGCTTTTGTAGAGGAAACACGGGGACACGCAGAGAGAGGCCGCGGAGTCCCCGCGTTCCCATCGGGCCTTTCTCACGGGACACCGTGTTCCCACGGCTCTGTCTGGAGGGACATGGGGGCTGGCGGCTGGTTTTCACAGACACTGTTTTTCTCCAGGGTCCAACCCGGGGAATCATGCCCTGGGCAGCCGTCGGCATAGCCTCCTCGCCGTGACTTGACAGGCCCACAGCCAGTGGAAAGGGATTTCCACTTCTTCACACACACTCTTTAAAATATATTTTTATTGATTTCATAGAGGAAGGGAGAGGGCGAGAGAGACAGAAACATCCATGATGAGAGAGAATCACGGATCGGCTGCCTCCTGCATGCCCCCCACTGGGGATGGAGCCCGCAACCCTGGCCTGTGTCCTGCCGGGAATTGAACTAACCATGACCTGGTTCATAGGTCGATGTTCAGCCACTGAGCACGCCGGTCGGGCCAACATTCTTTATTATGCTTTTTGTTTTTAATTTGAGAGAGAGGAAGGGAGAGGGAGAGAGAGAAACATCCATGGTGAGAGAGAGTCATGGATCGGCTGCCTCCTGCACGCCCACACTGGGGATCGAGCCCGCAACCCGGGCGTGTGCCCTGACCGGGAATTGAACCCTGACCTAGGAACGAAGGTTCCTAGGTTGACGCTCAGCCACGGAGCCATGCTGGCCAGGCTCTTCACACACCTTTTAAAAAAATGTTCTAAGTAAACAGTTTACACCTGAATTTGAAAAAAGCTCCACCCACAGGAGGCACCTCCTGGCGTGCGTTCATCACACAGGATTCCTTGTAGGTGCCTGTGACTTACAGTCAATAGGTAGCCACTCTGACCAGCATTCCAAACGGGCGATGTGGGGGTCACACCCGTTTCCCTGCGGCTGCTGGTGCCCGGGCTGTCACTCACCTTGGATCTAGACACCCCCTGGAGGTGGCCTGATTAGTTATGTCAGAGCCGTTTTGTGCTGCAACGTTTCAGCAGCCACCGAGGGCCTGTTGCACGTCTGAATCCATTTAAATATTAGTCGTTCCGCAGGGTTTCCTTGTACCCAGTTCTGGGGCTTGGAAAAAGTAAAAATACAGACAAGCCAAAAGGCTGCGGGGAGGATTCGGCGGTGGAGGTAAAGGGCAGACAGGGCCGTCCGGGGCCGGCCTCCCGCAGCAGAAACGAGGCGTGTAAGCAGGTCTCTGTCCGCCAGCACGTGCCCACCTCGTCTGCGCCGTCTGTCTCCCGGGAGCAGCAACGCCGAGCCCCGCATCCCGTCTGCACCGAGCGGAATAGTAATGTGTCCGGCCCCGCCATTGCTCTCCCCATGTCAGTGTTCCTGTTGAAGAGAGCAGGTACAGCATTTCCACTTATTTGGTTAATTAAGAATCTTGACGACAGCCCTGGCCGGTGTGGCTCAGCGGTTGAGCATCGCCCCTTGCACCAGGAGGCCATCAGTTCGGTTTCCGGTCAGGGCACAGGCCCGGGTTGTGGGCTCCATGTCCAGTAGAGGGCGTGCAGGAGGCAGCCGATCCATGACTCTCTCTCATCATTGATGTTTCTATCTCTCCCTCTCCCTTCCTCTCTGAAATCAATAAAAAAATATATTTTCAAAAGGAATGTTGACTACAACATCTGATTAGCAGCTGAGTTTATGCCACCGTCCATAGAACTTAATAATGCTGTGTTTTTGCAACCTAAACCCCTGCGGGCTGTGGCTGTCTGCGAGGCTAGCGATGGTTTGCAGAAGCACTGAGGCCTGGACGAAGCCAGTCTTGCCCAGACCCTGACCTTGCGATTCCTTTCTCCTTGCAGAACCACATCACCGCCTTCGCGGAAGTCACATGATACGGAAGCCGCCGGGGTTTCCCTGCACTGGACGTCGTCCCTTTTCACCGTCCATTCCTAACACCCAAAGTTTGTCCGACTGCAGAAGGAGTTTCTCAAGTTGTCTAATGATTTCTATAAGTTTAAAGTCAGTGTCAACGTGTCCGTTTCCCCCACTAGACTGTGAGCTCCTCAAAGGCAGGGCCGCGTCTCTCTTCTCCGGGTCCCCGGCACCTACAACAGCCTCGCACACAGTAGGTGTTCAGTTAACGTGGGAGGCCCGGGCGAGCCCCTTCATTCTGAAATAAAACACCCACTTGAGTTCTCATAGAACCCCTGGGGCTGAGGGGCAAAGAAACCGCTACACACACAAGTCAGATCTGTCTGAGAAATCCCTCCGTTCGGGGCTAGTTACGCTTTTTAACTTTTCACGTTAAAAAGCTGAAGAGGAGGCCCCCCTTCCGCAGTTCGCCATCTTTCCTGTGAAGTGGACTTCGAACGTCCCGGGGGTTTTTACTTTATTCGTCCGCACGACACGATGGCCACCCTGGCGGAGCTCCGCGTGCGACACGACTTTACTTTTAGAAAGTCTTGTTCTCTACGAAAATCCTGTTTGCACACAGTATTCCGCTCTATTTCCCTGAAAACACCATCCATTCTGTACCTTCTAAGACTGGTGCTTCTGCTTTTGAAGGGGGAAATGCCAATTTGTACTGTAATAAGTAATGTATCATAATTAAAAGCTATTTATTTGGACTCTGGTTCCTGACAGCTGTGGTGTGGCTGTGGCCGTGTAGCTTCTCCGGGGCAGCGGGCCGGGCGGCTGGGGGGCTGAGTCCGGCGATGGCCCGACGTCCTGAGCGCGTTCCCGTTGATGGCTGCATCTCGAGACAGGTCAGAGGCTCCGTTCTTAGGCTTTTTACTAATCAAGTTCCCACATAACTTTTAAAAATATATTTTCATTGACTTCAGAGAGGAAAGGAGAAGGAGAGAGAGAGACAGACACATCAGTGATGAGAATCATGGATCGGCTGCCTCCAAAAGCAACGGGACCGAATATCTCAAAGGTGGTGGTGGCAGTGTGGTCCGTGTGACCTCAGAAGCCATGGCAGCAGGGGCCGGGCTCACGATGCGAGCCCACGGAATATTTATTACTAGCATTTGGTCATTCAGATGATGGCTATGCACATTGTGTAGCAACAGGCAAACGTGTCTGCTGTGATTCCAAAGTTGAAAGGGGTGCAAATGACGCCCTGTAATTGCTAGGATGCAACCACCCCACAGGTGAACGCGCACGGTTCAAAGACAGCACGGAGACGTGGCTTCCAGAACGTGGGCATGTGCAGTTGTGAAAGATATAGCTCAGTGGTGCCATGGCCCTTTGCAGATGTTTATAATTATAATTCAAAAGACCACGGAGGGCAAGGCCCTTCCCCTCCATGGGCTTGGTCTTGACCGAAATCCTGCTGTCTTTGTTCTGCAATCCGGCCGAACCTTAGCCCGTCCTAATTTATAAACCCCAACTTAGCACTTTCCTGATTGAGTAAATGGCTCTTTCTTTATTGAGTTTATCTTGAACAAATAAATCCTGACATTTAGTGAATGGTGTGTAATCAGCTGGCGCTTACTTCTAATGCATTGCAATGAAATGTGGATTTTAAATTATATGATACTAGAGGCCCGGTGCACAAAAATTTGTGCACTTGGGGGGGTGGGGTCCTCAGCCCGGCCTGTGCCCTCTTGCAGTCTGGAACCCCTCAGGAGATGACCACCTGCTGGCTTAGGCCTGCTCCCGGGGGATCGGGCCCAAGCTGGCAGTCAGACATCCCTCTGGCAGCCCGGGAGCCCTCGGGGGATGCCCATTTACCAGTGGGGAGCAGGCCTAAGCTGCAGTCGGACATCCTTAGCGCTGCTGAGGAGGCGGGAGAGGCTCCTGCCACCACCTGTACTGGCAGCCGTCAGCCTGGCTTGTGGCTGAGCAGAGCTCCCCCTGTGAGAGCGCCCTGACCACCAGGGGGCAGCTCCTGCATTGAGTGTCTGCCCCCTGGTGGTCAGTGTGTGTCATAGTGACCAGTCATTCCCAGTCGTTCTGCTGTTAGGGTCAGTTTGCATATTACCCTTTTATTATATAGGATGTGGTGTCTTCACTGCTGAAGTTTGGGGGGAGGGGAGGGACGGATCTGGGCCTTCCTTGCTTAAAAACAGATTGTGGGCGAGGGCCAGCGGTTCTCTAACTGGGGCTCGGTTTGGTCCCCCAAGGGACATTGGTGATGACTGGAGACATTGTCACAACGTGGGGGAGGAGAGTGTGTGACTGCCAGCCGTGGGCGGAGGCCATGGATGTGGCTAACCACCTGATGTGCACAATTATCCACCCCAGTTGTGCCCAGGACGAGAAACCTGGTGAAAAAACCCAGCTTGTGGGTTTATTTCCGCCGCTGAAAGCAGGTCTCTGAGCGAGCCACTTCGTCCTAGGTCCCAATTTACTTATTTGTAAAACAGAAGGTAAATGCTGGTGCTCCCCCTCTGGGATGGTCCTGAGGTTAAATAGGAGGACTGGGCTTGATGTTCCAAAATGCGGCATCTACACGTGACCGGCCCGTGGGTCTGAAACACCTCTTCGAGCGGATGACGGAGAATGAGGTGGGAGTGCTAAATCGCCCTGAGGATTGCTTTTGACATTGTAAATTGTTTTCATGTTTCCCTGCAGAATCCTAATGAAAGCCATAACAAAATATCGCCACCTCGCTGATCTTTTCCAGATAAAATGATTCGGCTGCCTTAACCCACTGCCGGGCCCGGCCCCGAATTCCTCCACTCTCATTGGACCCTGGTCGTTAGCTACAGACGGGCTCAGGATTCTTGGCGCGGGAATTAGAAAACAGGTTGACTCCCTCCGAGTTCTGGGTAAGAGCAGACAAGGGGGAGAGGCCAGGGCAGAGCCGGAGACCAGCGAGGTGGTGTCCCACTTCCCCAGGTGAGAGGCGAGGGCGTGGGTGAGGGGGTAGCTGGGCGAGGTCTGATCGGGTTCTGAATACCGACTGGAGGTCTAGGCAGTAGGATAACGATGCGTTTGAGAGAAAGAGAAAGGTCAAGGGTTACCTTGAGATTTGGGCCTGAGCTTGCACAAAGATGGAGCTGTGATGAGCTGAAATGAGGAAGGTGGAGGGAGAAACAGATTTGGGGAGAGGAATAGCACACACAGTGTTGGTCACAGAGGCCTATGGTCCCTGTTGGAGCCGCCTCACACACAGAGGACATGAGTCTGCGATGCAGGGGAGAGCTTGGGGCTGGGAGACACATTATATAATATATATGCAATTTTTATATACCCAGGCTGTCTCCCCAAAATGTATATGCACTGTAACAGCCGAGAGCTCAGTTTTGAAATTGAAATGTGTTTTAATGAACACGGCCTTTATAATTATTCAAAGTGTGTGGGTGCCTTTTGGGGGACACCCTATATTGACATGTAGAATGTAGACCTGAAATAAGCCCAATGCAGTGCACCTTCCTGCCGACATCCCTCACCGAGGGAGACGGATCCCCGCGGAACCAGCACCACGCGGCCAGGGAGACGCGGGAGAAGGGACCTGCCCAGGAGGCCGAGGGCAGACCGAGGCAGCAGGGCGGCCAGAGCTGCCGCCCCCAGGAGAGAGTTTCAGGAGGAGAGGGTTCCCCATTTGTCACCTTCCACCTGCGGGCCAACGGCGACTTGACCTTGGGTTTAGAACATGCGAGTCGCTGGTGACCTAGAGGAGGTGGAGGAGGTGGAGGAGGCGAGGGTGGTGGGGGAAAGCCGGGCCCAGGGAATTCAGAGAAGACGGGAGAGCAGCAGCGTGGACAGAGACCTCCTCCTCCAGGGGCGTCCAGAGCGGCGGAAGGAAATGGGGTCCTCGCTGAACGGGAACGTGCCGGGGACAATGGCCACCCCAAAGGGGGCTTCCCCGAAAGACTGTCCTCCCCAGGGAATCTGGTCTCCATTTAGTTCTTTTTTTAAAATATATTTTTATTCATTTCAGAGAGGAAGGGGGAGGGAGAGAGAGAAACATCAATGATGAGAGAGAATCATGGATCAGCTGCCTCCTGCATGCCCCCCGCAGACTGAGCCCGCAATCCAGGCGTGTGCCCTTGGCCAGAGTCGAACCCAGGACCCTTCGGTCCGCAGGCCGATGCTCTATTCACTGAGCCAAACCGGCTAGGGCCCAACTGAGCTCTTAATGACAGAACAAACCTGGCATCTAGAAATAGCTGGGGAGAGATTGGCTGCCCTCGCGCCGCCTTCCGGTGTCTGTCTCCACACTCCCGACACCTCCCCGGGGTGAGGGGAACGTGCAGCTGAGCTTCTGGCAGCCGCCACCAACCCGACCGCCAGCAGCTCAGGATCTCACACTTGTTGACAGAATTAGCTTCCACATGACGAAACAAAGGCTCTCTCTCTCTCCCTCCCTCCCTCCTCCCTCCTTCCACCTCTCCCTCTCTGTCTTTTGGAAAGGAGGGTAAGCAAAGAGAGGATGGATAGCTTTTATTTTTAATATATTTTTATTGGTTTCAGAGAGGAAAGGGGAGGGTTAGCTTGTTTGTTTCATGTAAAACACACTGATGTTTGAAGAGAGAAGAATTGAAAAGCAGCTGATCACAGGTTTAAAAGCGGGGAGGAGGGGAGGAAAGAAAGAGGCCTTTCTCCTTGGCAACGCGCCTGCTACCGGGTCGCGGCCTCTCCGGCTCAGGATGGTTTAGTCCTAAGAACACATCCCTCACGGGCCTAAGGAAGAGCACCCCCGCCCAGTGCGCGTTCATCGCGGTGGCTGCCGTGGCCTGGCTGGGTGACTGCGGTGGCTGCCGTGGCCTGGCTGGGTGACCGCGGTGGCTGCCGTGGCCTGGCTGGGTGACTGTGGTGGCTGCTGTGGCCTGGCTGGGTCACCCCAGTGGCTGCCGTGGCCTGGCTGGGCCACCCCGGTGGCTGCCGTGGCCTGGCTGGGTCACCCTGGTGGCTGCTGTGGCCTGGCTGGGTCACCGCGGTTGCTGCCGTGGCCTGGCTGGGTCACCACAGTGGCTGCCATGGCCTGGCTGGGTGACCGCGGTGGCTGCCGTGGCCTGGCTGGGTGACTGTGGTGGCTGCTGTGGCCTGGCTGGGTCACCCCGGTGGCTGCCGTGGCCTGGCTGGGTCACCCCAGTGGCTGCCGTGGCCTGGCTGGGTCACCCTGGTGGCTGCCGTGGCCTGGCTGGGTCACCCTGGTGGCTGCCGTGGCCTGGCTGGGTGACCGCGGTGGCTGCCATGGCCTGGCTGGGTCACCCCGGTGGCTGCCGTGGCCTGGCTGGCGCTGGGCGCAGGGAGCAGCCCAGGAGGCGGAGCCTGCAGCTCCGGGAGGCATTTTGACAGCGGGGGTAGTTCTTTCCCCCACGTGGAGCACTTGCTTTTTTTTTTTTTTCTAAATTTGGTGCCGGTTCTTGGTGCACTTGCCTGTTCACTCCTCAGTTTCCCCCTGCCAGGGCGGCAGAGCCTGAGTGACAGCATCTCCCACTGTCTCTGCTGAGGGCAAGGAGCGCAGGCGGCTGGAGGCTGAGGTTGGGGCAGGCGGCCTGGCGCCCTCCCTGGCCCCTTGGGCTCCTGCTGGGAGGTGTGACCAGCCCCGGCGGGAGGAGAGGCGGGGATGGGGTCACTCCAGACGGAGGACAGGCTGCGGCTCCTGTGTCATCTCTGACTCCAGGGCGAGCTCCTACAGGTGCCTCCCTTCAGGGCCAGGTCCCCCCGC